TTGTTGGGAAAATATATTTTATATGCATAAATTTGACATTGATATGCTAAAATTACTTTTGTTCTAAACTTTGTGTTATGTCCACATGCGTTCTCATTCATTTAACTTTTTGCGTGTCGATTATGAGCTTGCTCTATGAGAACCGATGACAGCTGCGTTTCCAGAACCTGTTCCAGACACGGTTGCTTCACAATTCGGGGGCGCGCACGCGTTTTAAGAAGTCGCGCGCATCACATCAGCTGTTAGCGCAAGTGATCATTATTCTCTCATTCGGTATTCACTTGCTTTCTTCTGCTCGCGTGATCACAATTATTTTACTTCTTCTATATATATATATATATACACAGAATTATTAGGGCAAAGCTGTGCCGCAGTAGGTAGAGCTGTTGCCTCACAGCAAGAAGGTCACTGTAAATGATGGTTTGTTCTGTAGACTAGACTAAAAATATATATATAGCTTAAAGGGGCTAATAATTTTGACCTTAAAATGGCTTTTTAAAAATTAAAAACTGCTATTATTCTAGCCAAAATAAAACAAATAAGACTTTCTACAAAAGAATTGTTTTAAATAAAGAATTATTATTAGACATACTGTGAACATTTCTTTGCTCAGCTAAATTTAATTTGCAAAATATTTTCAAAAGAAAAAAAAAACAAAACAAAGGGGGGCCTAATAATAATAATAATAATAATAATAATAATAATAATAATGACCGTGCCCAGGCCCGTTTCCCGGATCGTTTGAGAAGTGTGAGTGCACTGAATCAGGCTCAAGCACGGTTTACTTGGCCGGCCCTGGCCCGGTTGGAAGAGGTGGGCCTGAGCGCGGTTCACTTGGGCTTTGGCACAGTACGCTTGTAGTGTGAGTGCAAAATGCGCCAAAGCCCGAAACTGAAAGCGAGACGTGACTTTTAAGGGACTGTTTCATATGGATTTATTAATCAATCTTACTGTTCAATGAACACAAACTGCCATAGTTTATTAAATACGCAAACCCTTCACTGCACGACAGCTGCGCATCTTCAGCAAACCTCCTCATTCCTGCAGCACGAGGACTTTATGATTGTTTATGAGCGCCAAAAGTGGCGGATCTGTTCGGTGAAATATCTGACTGCGTGTCACCGCATCCCTAAGGACTGTTTGGTCAAATATTTGACTGCATGTCACTGCATATCAAACGACTGAAACGATATAACTAGAGCAATCTCCACTGTACTGAGCGAGAGCGCTCACTGAACAGCGCAGCATCGATGACGTAAGCGTGCCCAAGCCCGATTGTAGTGTGAGTGCGGGCCATCGTGGGAGACGGGAAGGGGGACAAGCGTGCTTCGGCCCGGTTCGAGGCAACTGTACATAGTGTGAGTAAGGCCTTAGTCAAACCCAATTATTTTAATTTCAATAATTAAACTCAAATTCACCATGGTTTTGCTACAACAGCCTTGCTACAACAGTCACTTTAGTATTTGTAGTAAACTTTTTATTAGAATGAAATCTCCAGGAATAAAATGTAAAATCTATGAAAATATGCTAATCTCTTGCCGTACACCCATGTACCATAGTATCACCATCTGTTGTATTGAAGTATTTGGGTTCATATTCTCAGTCCCTGTAGGGTAGAACAACCAGCACACACACAGGCCAGGTTTCAGGAGAAGAATGGAGATTGTGTGTTTGTGTGCGCATTTGTGTTTGTGTGCACATGTGTACTTATTGTTAATTTGTGTGTGTTTGTGATTGAGCATTTGTCTGTTTGAGTGTTCATTTTTATTGTGTACTTCAGTGCAGATTTGCATTTGTGGGAAATGAATTTCCTGCATTAATAATATCTGATGGGCACAGGACCAAGACTACCGTAGGAGTATCATACCATCTTGCACCACACACACACATTAAGAGCTCTACCTGGACCTGGCACATATCTGTAGGCATTTTTCTGCAACTGCTGAGTTCCACTCCAGATGTGCCCATGTAATTACCACCCTAGAAACAGCTGTGTGTGGGTGTTCGTACAAGGATGTGTGTGTATGTGTGTGTGTGAGAGTGAGTTTGATTACTTGCTCAGGTTGAAACAGGAAAATGAATTCCTGGCTCTACTGTTACGCCAATTCAGCATTGTGAAAAGGGCCTTTCAGAGACTATTTATATGTGCTTTTGTGTGTGCGTCCCCTCAGTTTCAGCATATGCACACATGTAGGCAGTGCAGATTGCTTTAGGACCTCAAGCACGGCTTTGCATTTGAAATACGCATAACTGTGATGTGTATCCATTTCAGTATAATCTATATGTATCATATTACTTTGTGCATTTCCATATTTCAGCAGACGAACGTGTGAAATATCACAGCATCATCACACTGCTCGCTTAACACAATATGCATCGGTCTGCACGAATATGTCCGTATGAGTTGGCAGATGAAAAGCATATAGAGATCTTATGTTCAGAGGAAGTCTATGGTAGATACCTGCATTGCTGACTTTAAAGAAGACCTATTTTGCCACTTCCCAGCAAGCATTTTTTGTTTTTAAAAGATGTCTAATAGACGTCTAATCACAGTCATCTTGGCTAAAACAAGGCTAAATTTGGGCTGTTAGTAAAAATCTAATAGGCGTCCAAGAACTGGCCAAAACTAGACTGGTTTTAAATAAACAGAAATTAATGACCTCACATATAAAGTCTGTCTATTAGATGACAAGTTTAGTTTTGGGCTATTCTTAGATGTCTATTATTTTTTCACTGATTGCCCTAATTTAGCCTTGTTTTAGACAAGCTATCTACATTTAGATGTCTATTGAAGGTCCCCCGTCCCCGCAGTCTTAAAATGTCTTAAATTTTAAAAACTAAATTTCAGGCGTTAAGTCTTAAATTCACTGAAATGTTGTCATGTAGGTCTTTAATCATTTTAAACAGGTCTTAATTTGGTCGACATTTATCCAATTAACAATCCATCTCAAGAAAACTTTTTTTTTTTAATAGTCTACAGAACAAACCATATACATATATAAGTTTTTTATTGCAATGTGATAAAATTTACTATAGCTGTTCGACATTTTTTACAGCGATTTCTCTAAATTTAGTTCCATATTCTGGGAAAGAAAACTAAAAATAATTACACAATTCCTAAGACACGTTGCAGTGGGCCTCAAAATCAAAGGGTTTGGATCCTATTGTAGGAAATTTTAAAAAAAAGAGACTTGTTTTGTTTATATCACTCCAATCCGCTTGTTAAGTGTGACATCACGCGAAGCGGCTTCCGGGTCCGAGCGCCATATCAAACTGTATGAGGAGGCTCATCAAATGGTAATACTAAATGTTTACAAAGCGCTGTAACACGTTTGAATTATTACTCATGAATTATTATTATTATTATTATTATTATTATTTCTAGGATTATTTTATTTAATTTTTTATTGTTGTTACCATTATTGTTATTATTGATATTACTATTATTTATAATAATTATTGTTTATTATTATTATTATTATTATTATTATTATTATTATTGTTGTTGTTGTTGTTATTGTTGTTATTATTGTTATTATTTCTATTGCTAGCATTATTATTATCATTGTATATTTATTCAGTTTTTAAATTAATTTCAGTAATATTATTGACTAATATGCAAATGTTTATTTGATTTATTCACAATACAGTTTGTAAAGTAATATTTTACTTCTAGTAGATATATTATACAAGTGATTTGTGTACCAAATAAGTGGATCTAGTTGGATGCGCATTGTAAACATTAAAAAAAAGCTAAAAGCTAATATTTTTAACTTCATATAGTACATTTTGGTTATAAAACTCCCTAAATCAATCCACATAAATCTACAGATTTTTTATAAACGTGTCAGCAGATTCTGTTTGGCCCTAGTTATGACTTAACAAGCGGATATGATTGTGGACACTATATTTACGCCCTGTTCTGTGCAAACAGCTTCTAAAGGTTGATTTTATGTCATAGATACTCTTTAAATCGATAGTTCACCTCAATATTTACTCACTAACAAGTGACAAGAAGGCGTTGACTAGTGTGCTGGTTAAAACTAAATTAAAACCTTAAGGCTTCAAGGTTTAAAAGTACTTTCCACAAGATTTCTCAAGCCAACATAACAAAAAAAGTTGGTCTTGATCTATAGTTTGCTGTAGGCCTGCGCATTTACAAATGCTGTGTTAATGGGTGGTTGGCATTCAATATTTTAGGAAGTTGGCAACTATTTTAAAACAGCTTTTTTACTGTTCGACACATTTATGAGTTCGTATGAGCTACTTTAGTGAACAATTGTACTGTTTTAAAAGGGAAAAAGTCATAAAGCTGCATAAAATGAGTTGCGGGACTTCAAGCATACACTTTTTCCATTCATATAAATGTTCGCTTAAAAAAAAAACAGCATAAAATTTTCACATTATATGCAAACTGCCCACAAAGTTTTGGACTTAGTAATTCACTTTCCTTTGGTTTGTTAGCTGTTGCTAGCATTCCGATAGCTGGCCCCGCTTTGTTGCTTTGAAAGCAGCTTTGCAGACACCAAAGTAATGCATAAAAAGTCCATGTTTGCTGCTGATAACTCACATATGTGCTTCCCCATGCAGGTGAAGTGCGGTTTGGGAAGCAGCTGCTGTCTGTCCAAACAAACCAGCATCCCAAGAGCATAATGCGGTGTGATCAATCAACTGATATGAACCTGTGTGTGTGTGTGTTCTGTTTTCCTCCTTGGCATCAAAGGGAGAGCATTGATTTCCCATCATGCATTATTCACAAAAATGCAAATCGGCTAAAACCAAAAAGAACCACCCCAAAGCTTTTTTTTTAATTAAATATGCAAGAATCCCTAGGCGGAATTACCATGGAAACCACGATTACATCACAATCTCAGAGTTCCCGCAGAGTGATATTGGCATTGTATAGTGTGCACTAATAAATATGTTATTGCAGGCTTCTGCATTATTATATATGTTTATATACAGTATATGCACTAATATTAAAATCTCTGTCTCCTCAGATACCTTCCGATGTGCTCCACCCCCAGCGGGCGTCGCGTGTGATTGGCCGACTTCACAGCCTTGGGAATCAATTGATCCATTTTTAATGAGCCGAACTGAGCAAGAGGGCAGCGAATTTCTTCTGGCCGCCTTGAGGGGTGAGAAAGAATAACAGATGAGCTTGTTTTATGAAAAAAAAAAAAAAAGCATTCGGATATGTTTGTGCCGCATTATACTTCAACCATAAGGGTAGTTACATAAATCCAACTACTGCAGACTTCCCAGGAGACTAATGTGAGGCTGTTAACCTGAGTTTCACCTCATATTTTAGTGTACGTTTTTCATTGTTTGCTTAGACTGCTTTGGAAATCAGTTCTTGTAGTAGTTGTTACCCTCATTAGATTCTACAGACTTTCTTTCCAAATTAGATTGAAAAAGCTATAAAAAATAAATGGAATTAATAAAAAATATATATAATTTCTGAATAATTTTATGTATGGTTTTACTTAATGTCAATATTTATTTTTTTACACAAAATTTCAAAAACAATTTTATACAGTATATTAAATAATAATAATCACATAATTTGTCACATTAACAAATGTTTTTAGTTGTTCCAGTTGAAAATAAAATATATTACATAATAAGATTTGAATAAACAAAACCTAATGATTATTATTATACACAACAATAAATCATATTTATATTTATTTATTTATTTATTTATTTAATTATTTATTTATTTATTTGTGTTATTTTAGAATTATTTATTTATTCATTATGCATTAATTAATTTATTTCTGTGAAGCTAAAAATATAATAATGGCAGTAATAATTAATGGCATTAATATAATGCTGGAATCATAGTATCAATAATGTTATTATCATGTTTTTGCTGTTAACATTTTTGTGCCATTTTATTTCATTGTATTATTATTAGTAGGATCATTTTGTTATTATTGTTATTGTTATAATTACTATTATTATTATTAATGTTATTATTATTATTATTATTTATTACTATTACTACTATTATTATTACTAGGATTATTATTATTATTATTATTATTATTATTATTATATAAATTAATGTTTTTTATTATTGTTCTTATTTTATTATTGTTGTTATTATTGTAATTATTATTATTATTATTATTATTGTTATTACCATTATTTTTAAAAATTATTATTATTAGTTATAATAATAATAATAATAATAATTATTATTATTATTATTATTATTATTACTTGTATTATTGTCATTATTATTATCATTATTTATTATTATTATTATTATTATTATTATTATTATTATTATTATTATTATTATTATTATTCAATAATCATGTGACACTGAAGACTAACGTGGAGTAATGATCCTAAATTAGGAGTAATGGTGCTCAAAATTCAACTTTGCATCGCAGGAATAAGTTACTTTTCAAAACATTTTATAATTTAACTATTATTTTTAAGTTGTAAACTACTTTGACTGTTTTAAGTAAACCCAGTCTTTGTGAGAATAAGTAATAAGACTTAAAATATATAAATTTAGCGTAATTATTGTAAATAGTAGACCAGCGCAGTGAGAATCCTGAATCTACAAATGTACATATGTGATTTTGCCTAGCTTAAACGTACCTCAGAGATCCGTAATGACCAAACACATGTTCTTATAATCATACATAAATGCTTTTTGATTGTAAATGTCTGCTGTTATTTGCTAAAAACGTACTTGAAACCGCTTTTGAATACAAAGTTAGTAAAGGTTATGCTCCTCTTTTAGCGTTTGACAGCGTAGGTCAATGTTAACAGCATGCTTTTGTCACCTGTGTTTATTCAGATGCACTGTTTACTCGTTTACAGGCTAACCATTTCCAAAAGCACGTTGTTAGAAGTCTGTAAACGTAGCCTAGGCAAAGGTGATGCTAAAACTAGTTCTGCCAGCTTTTATCTCTTACAAATGTGCATCCAAACTTGTGTACAACACGTATCTGGTTGATTTTGAGTGAAAATGACAGGCTGTGGTGTAATGTCAGACACATTTACTTAGCTACTTAGCATTAGCATCATCCGTATGGGGACTGTGTGGTTTGCGAGCTGCAGAGGAGTAAATTAGCGTTCAGGCTGGTGCTTTTTCTCCTGCTATCGGTTCATCTTTATCTCTCCCGAGTCACAAAACAGTTTATCAGTGCAGATCTGTGACTGTGTTTTTAGGTTGGAGAGCGAAGGCAATCTGACTGAAGAGCCTCTGTAGGGCTGAATGTGGGTTTTGAGCTGTGTTTATGTAGATGTCTGTGTGTGTTATAGTGAGTATAACTAAAGATGGACGAAGAAGAGTTGTAGTGTTTTGGTTAAAAAAATCAATAGAGATTCTCTTTCAGTGTGTGTGCGTGTGTGTGTGTGTGTGTGTGTGTGTGTGTGTGTTTGTATTTGTTCGTGTGTGTGTGTGTGTGTGTGTGTGTGTTTGCATTAGCATTTGAATGGTCTTGAGGTCATTGAGATGCAGTTGCTATTGACAGCCAGATGCTTAACATGACTGGTCACTGGAGTCTAGGTCACTGGTGTGTGTGTGTGTGTTGTATGTGCCACTGGTCTGACATGATCAGCGTGTGGAACTACAAATCTTTTGTATGAATAAATGATTTGACTGACATTTGTGTGAAATTTGACTTTTAGATTTTATATATTTACGGTGTGTATTATCCTCCGCTGTCTACAATATGGACCGACACGGTGGCTCCATGGTTAACACTGTCAACTCACAGCAAGAAGGTCACTGGTTCGAGTCCAGGCTGGGTTAATTGGCATTTCTGTGTGGAGTTTGCATGTTCTCCCTCTGGTTTCCCCCACAGTCTAAAGACATGCACTATAGGTGAATTGTATATTTATATATATGTGTATATGTATATGTATGTATATGTATATAAGGGGTGTCACGATTTTGATTTTTAATCGAAATCGATCGAAATTTATGCTTAATTTCGATTATCGAATCAAAAAATAGAATTGTTGATGCTGCCACGCCCCCATGTCACGTCAGCTTGGCTTGCCAAGCCGGAAAAAACAGGCTTGTTGAAGTGCTTGTTGAACTGCAGATACAGGAGACCCGTCGACAGAGCTTAAACCCTCTCCTCTTTCAATGAAGTCGCCGGTGTGTAAGCATTTTGGATTTCCAGTGAGTTATGTTGACAACGTTCGTGTTGTCGACAAAAAAAACACAGTTTTGCAAGCTCTGCTATGTACGTATTAGGGTTCGTCCGATAGACAACACCTGCATCGCAATCCTCTGCCCGCCCCCGTTGCAAATCCGCTCGCGAAAAGTACAAACTCAGGCCCTGTTTACACTGTCTTTGTTTTTAAATGGCATTTTAGAACGACAACGATTTGACATCCACAGTGGTGTGTAGCATTTCAGAGCAGCCCTCCTTCCTCTCTACCTCTGACACACACAGACACAGACGCACACACACAGCCATGGGCTTGAGACAGCGGGTTCAGGCAGTCAGAGGATCAGTAGACTGCTTCAATCTTTCACTCACTTGTACTTACACCTGTACGAACACCTCAGTTGGCTTGGTACTGATACTGTTGGCTGGTTCCTGTTGGTTGTGCGTCTTTTTTACCGACGCCATTATAACAACACAGATCACTGCCTATTCACGAGTCTCGCAGAAAAAAAGTGATTGACAGGTGGTAATTATGTGTGTAACTTGCCTTTATTCATTTACTGTATGATTTGTTTATGGGTAAAACAAAGACCATGAAGGTCAGGTAGTTTAAACGGTAGGCTACAAATAATTAATTGGTCATTAATTAATTAATTATTCATAATCAAAAATCGAATCTAATCGTGCCTTTAGAATCGAAAATGTAATCGAATCGAGGATTTGGAGGATCGTGACACCCTTAATGTATATGTATATGTTTGTGTGTGTGTGTGTGTGTGTGTGTGTGTATGTGTGTGTGTGTGAATGAGAGTGTAGGGTTGTTTCCCAGTACTGGGTTGCTGCTGGAAGGGCGTCCGCTGTTTAAAACTTATGCTGGAATAGTTGGCGGTTCATTCCGCTGTGGCGACCCCTTACAAATAAAGGGACTAAGCTGAAAGAAAATGATCGAATGAATGAAAGTCTACAATACATCTGGATCTTCATTTTAAATGCATTTTACCATAGTAATTATTATTTGATTCTTGCTCACTATATATATATATATATATATATATATATATATATATATATATATCCATATATTTAATAAATGCTGTTATTTATAATGAATAAAGTGTTTTTAGTATATTTTTGATGTAAAAATAAATATTAAATTATGTAAAACTGTTATTTTAGTATTTATAGTGTTATTGAATGTGTGACAGGGTGAAGAGGGAAACCAAATAAGACACATACAGTGGAAAGAGAGAGAGGGAGGGAGGGAGTTATGAGGCGTTATTAAATCTTTAATAATCATTATTATTGTGCTGTGAGCCTCAGATTTTCTGGCCAGGGGATTTGAGCCGTTGGCAATAACAGTGCTGTGTGTGTGTGTTTGAGTGTCAGGAAGACTGAGATAAGTGTGTGTCGTGATTTAAGATGCCTCTGCCATTTCAGACTGTCGCCTCTAAAGATTTATTGCTAATTAGGTTAGAGAGCACTTGACCTGTCAGGTGTGTGCGCATGTGTGTGTGCGCACTTTTGTGATTGGATTGGTTTTCTGTGTTCATGTGGCATTCGACATTCTCTCATCACACTACATGACACACACATACACACACACACACACACACACACACACACACACACACACATACATACATAAGGATGTCTCTTTGACATTTTAGGAATGGTAGCGAAGAACAAAATGAACATTGAAGTTCCAAATGCTACCAAACCATGTTTTTAGAAATTCACCATGGTAAAACTAGGTGTAATGGAGTACACTCTAAAAATCTGTTGTTTCAACCTAACTTCGTCGAATATAGACAAACTATATAAACTAATAACTATTATACAATTAGGCTGCACCGTGGTGCAGTGGGGAGCACGTTCGTCTCACTGCAAGAAGGTCGCTGGTTCGAGCCTCGGCTGGGTCACTTGGCATTTCTGTGTGGAGTTTGCATGTTCTCCCCGTGTTGGCATGGGTTTCCTCCTCCACAATCCAAAGA